TGGCTTCCGGCTAGTTTGGTCTAGATTGTGTAGCAAATTAATTTTTATCCTGACCAAAAGGATTATCTACTCGGAGGTTTACCATTTCTTTGGCTTGGGAAAAATTGCAAATGAGGCGCAATATTTCTATGGTGGACCATTACATTTGGTGTACTATTGTTTCCATTAAAATCTCTTTCTTTGTATGGCAGTTGTTGCGAGGGTTTCTATCGTTGGACTCGCAGCCGCCGCGTAGAGGTTTGACGATTCTTCGGCGGTGTCATTGTTCCTCTGATGCAATGGAAACCCCTGTTCATTTGTTTCTCGAAGGCTTGGTTGCAATTGATGTCTGGAATTGTTTTGGTCAGCGATTTGGGTTATTGGAGCGGTCAACTACAGGTATTTCCTCCATGTTACTTAGTTGTTTTCTCTTGCATCCTTCTATTTGGGTTGATCATATTAGAGTGGCAGTACCTTTGCTGGTATTGTAGTTGCTTTGGAAGGACTGCAATTCAGCTCAGTTTCGTGGTGGTGTGGTGGACTCCCAGTGGGTTATTTTTTCACTTTCATCTGATGCATTGCATTGTCTCTTCGTATATAAGATGTTCCTCCATATGTGAGAGCTGCCATTAATTTGGATGCTAGATCTGTACCTAATGTGAAGTCTGTAAAGGAATAAGTACTCCTTATTTATTTTCCAGTAGCTCCTTTGATAGGCTGATTGGGCTTTTCAATATTTCTTGTATTTTTTAATTATGTTTTAATAAAATAATGAGGTGGCATCCCTCCTCGTGTACAGAATTACCAACAAAAAAAAAAGGGTTGCTCAGGATGAGATTAGTTTAGCATTCAGGCTATAATTGTTGCTTCTAGGCATCATAGTGGGAATAACAAATTATCTAACGTGATCATTTGTTGAGACTTAGATTCCGGATTTTCTTTGGACTGGCTTCATGGAATCATTTATGCATATGGTTTGAGGTAAGTGACCCTATTACTAACCAGTATTTTCTTAAACGTATAAATTATTTATGCTAAAAGACATTTTGGGAATTTTTAAAGTTGTGTATTTTATGAAATATATTGTTTGTCTGTGCTTTTTTCATGAAAATTGATCAAGTATGTGATTATTTGTTGATCTGAAATTATCTGCGATTCGTGAAATGTTTGGATCAATTATGGCTTAATTTTAAATTTGTCAATTCAAAGGTTAGTTGATTTGAGAATATGTTGTGTGTGTGTTGTGAGTTGGCCATTTCGGAACTAGTTATGGAAACCGAGCTATAACAGGGTTAAGTATATAGTCATGACCCGAGTTGGAGGGGTAAAGTCTAATCCGTAACCCAAGTTATGGGGGTTGAGCTTGACTCATGACCCAGTTTGCTTTGCGTGATTAACTAGTGTTTAGTGTGTCTAACTGGGTGTTTAACATAAGGTCTAATTACTTAGATCATGGTTGTGTGATAGTATAAATTTTTGCTCTTGCAGAAGACCCGTCCTGGGCCGAGACACGTGGCAGCCCAAGAGGGCCAGAGTTGGGCTTGGACCTCAGGCCCATGGGAACCATCCTGGGGCACACCGCCGCTATGGCTCCGAAGGGCTCCAGAGAACAATCCCGCAGAGGGCGGGGAGGATCCCCCTCAGCGCGGGACTGAGACTATTCTGGGCAGGTCCCGAAACGTACGGAGGTCGCACTCACAAGCAGGTATAAATGGTAACGCACATCTACTGCATAAGGTACACTCACTGTTGGCAGATCACCCCCGACTGTTTTACTTCTCGAGAATTTCACTCACCGGTAGACTAACTTGACCGTCGGAGTGCCCCCAGGGACAACCTCGGAGCTCCCCTGCTAGTCATCCTATAGACCTCTTCTTGTTTGTTTTGCAGGGTTTGGACACGCTTTTCTCATCAGCACGCCGAGCTCAGTAGGTCAGCTCGGTCCGGGGAAGCTTTGCGCTTCTTCAGTTGGCGCCGTCTATGGGAATGAAAGGTAAGTATAGTTGTGTTGATGGCGAGAACGCACTCCAAGCGAACCATTGAGAACATCGATCCTGGAGCCAGCGAGGGGTCCCGGCGAAGGGAGACCGAGGCGGCTCGGGACGCTGGGGGCTCAGCCCTTTCGGGGGAACGGAGACAGTAGATCCTTCAGTTCGTGACGGAGAACCTCCCCATGTTGGAAGACATGGTCCGACAGGCGAACGAGGGGGGTGAAGCCGGGGGCGCACAAACCTCTAAGGCGAAGGGGAAACAGAAGAAATCACCTCCCATTCCCTCAGAGGATGAGTCACGAGACCAGCCCCCCAGAAGGAAGCGGCCACGGACTCCCCCTCGGCACGAGCCTCGATGGTCGAAGACAGCGAGAGGTGTTCCCGTGACTGGTCCGCTGGGGGCCGACCGAGAAATCCTTCCCCATGGAAACCTGCGCGGAACGAGCCTGAACGCTCCCCCGACCGATCTGTCAAGAGCCGACCATGCAATCTCCCCCAGTGGAAACCTGTCCGGGACGAATTCGAACAAATTTTGCGGCTGCAATTGTACGAGGACAATTACGCAGCCTCGCCATTTACCCACGGGATAGAGGATTACCCGCTACCCCGGAGATTCAAGATCCCGAACATCGAGTTGTGTGACGCTTCGACCGACCCGGAGGACCACTTCTCGGTCTTCCTCACGCACATGCGTCTGCAAACAGTTGCGGATGAGATCCGTTGCAAGACCTTCCCCATGTTCCTGAAGGGGAGGGCCCGGCTCTGGTTCCAGGGTCTGGCACCGGGATCCATCCGAAGTTTTCCTGAACTGGCCAGGCAGTTCGTCGCCCAGTTCGTCTCTTCGAAGACTTACTCGAAGAACGCGGCTCACCTGATGGCAATCATGCAGAAGCCGGACGAGTCCCTGAGGAATTTCATGGCCCGCTTCAACACGGAAAGCCTGCAGATCAAGGACAAGGATGAAAAGGTGGTGATGGCCACCTTCATGAATGGGTTCAGGGCAGAGGAGCTCTTCTACAAGCTGGCCGAGAAGCCTCCCGGAGATCTGGAGGAGCTCTTGACCAGGGCGCACGCAACCGCTAACGCAGAGGAGGCGGCACGCCTGAAGAGGGAGTCGGATCGGGAGCTCGGAGATCGGAGAGGACGGGGAAACCCTCCCGAAACAAAGACGGCCTGGCCAAGAAGAACGTTTTTGACCGACTCTCAAATGAGAAAACCCCCGCTCAACCGCAACTTCCGGAAAAAGGGTACACCCCCCTGAGTCGGCCCAGAGCCCAGATCCTGGCCGTTATGGAGGCGGAGGGCCTAGGGGAACGGCCGCCCAAGATGGGGACACCCCGAAATAAGAGAAACCAGGACCGGTACTGTGCCTTCCACCGTGACGTCGGGCATGACACAGAGGGGTGCTGGGCCCTACGGAGGGAGATCGAGAATCTGATCCAGCGCGGCTTCTTGGGACTGTTTGTGTGGCAAGGTCGACCAGGCCAGGAGCCAGGACGTACCTACCGCGGAGACAAGGTCGAGGGCCAGCGTCGCGACCGCCCTGAGCGGCGTGATATTCCCCGGGAACACTCCCCCGACCAGGACACTCAGAACTTGGCCGGGGTGATTAAAACCATCGCTGGGGGCCCCACGGGAGGAGACAGCAATGCAGTTCGGAAGAATAGGCGACCTCCCCCCGAGGGGGAGGATTCCATGAAGCGCCTACGCGTGGACGAAGAGATCACCTTCGGACCGAGGGATGCTGTTCCCCTGGCGTCAGGGAACCACGAGGCCATCGTGATAGACGTCGTAACCAATAACTATCGGGTGAAGAAAGTGTACGTCGACCAAGGAAGCGCGGTTGACATCCTATTTTACAGGGTGTTCAAGGAGCTCGGCTTGGAAGACGGACAGTTGACCCCGGTTCGGACACCTCTGGTGGGTTTCACCGGGCCACCCATCAACCTGGAGGGAATGATCACCCTGATGGTCACGGTAGGGCAGGCGCCCAAATGCCGTACCATTCCCGTCAACTTCGTGGTGGTCAAACAACAATCCCCGTACAATATGTTCCTTGGTCGGCCCACCTTGAACGCCCTCTGAGCTATTCCTTCTTCGCTCCACCTCAGCGTCAAGTTCCCCACCTCGGGGGGAATAGCCGAGGTACACGGAGATCCAGAGGTGGCCCGAGCTTGCTACCTGGCCATGCTCCGGGGACAAGAGAAGGTGGTCGCCCAGACGACCAGCTTGGAGCCCTACATCCCGGGGGAGGAGGACCAACAGTTGGGCACTCGGGACGAGAACGAGGAGTTCCCCTTGAGAGAGGACAGGCTCGACCAGGTCCTCCGCATCATTGCGTTGCTGCCTTCCGAGGAGAAGGAGGGGTTGAAGGCCCTACTGAGGGAGTGCTCCTAGGTCTTCGCGTGGACGGTTGAGGACATGCCTGAGATTCCGACTGACCTAGCCATCCACCACCTCAACGTGGATCCCCGCTTCAAACCGGTGAAGCAGAAGAAGAGGAGTTTCGCCCCAGAGAGGAATGAGGTAATCAAGAAGGAGGTCGACAAGCTGTTGGAATCCAAGATCATCTTGGAGGTATATTACCCGGCCTGGCTAGCCAACCCGGTCCTGGTGAAGAAGGAGAACCAATCTTGGAGGATGTGCGTGGACTTCACGGACCTTAATAAAGCCTATCCAAAGGACTGTGTCCCTTTGCCGAGGATTGACAGGTTAGTAGAGTCTACTGTGGGTTTTGACGTTCTGTGTTTCCTGGACGCCTTCAAGGGATACCACCAGATAGAGATGGCTGAAGAGGACCGGGAAAAGACTTCCTTCATCACTGAGGAGGGGACGTACTGTTACCGGACAATGCCGTTTGGGCTAAAAAATGCTGGAGCTACCTACCAGTGCTTGGTCAACAAATTGTTCCAGAATCAGGTCGGCAGGAGTATGGAGGTCTACGTGGACGATATGATTGTCAAGAGCCGAACTGACAGGCAGCTCGCTCCCGACCTGAGGGAAATCTTGAACATCCTGTAGGAGAGCCAGATGCGGCTGAACCCAAAGAAATGCACCTTCGGGGTTAGGTCTGGAAGGTTCCTAGGTTTCTTGGTCTCCCGAGAGGGAATCCAGGCCAATCCGGATAAGGTCCAGGCCATCATGGACATGGCCCCTCCGAGGAACATAAAGGAGGTCCAGCGGCTCACGGAAAGGATGGCCGCCTTGAATAGATTCCTCTCGCGTTCCGCGATGAGGGAGCTATCCTTCTTTCGAATCTTGAAAGCGCCTAAGGACTTTCAGTGGATTGAGGAGTGCCAGAAAGCCTTCACCGACCTGAAGGCATACTTGGCTGAGCTGCCAAATTTGACCGCCCCGGAGCAGGGGGAAACCCTGATCCTATACCTGTCCGCCTGCAACGAGGCTGTTAACGCGGTTTTGGTGGGGGAAGACAGGGGGGCTCAGAGGCCAATATATTATGTCAGCCGTGCTTTACAAGGGCCGGAAACGCGGTACACACTGGCAGAGAAATTGGTCCTTGCCCTGGTGCACGCCGCCCGAAAACTCCGACCTTACTTCCAGGCCCACAGTATTGTTGTCATGACTGATCAGCCCTTACGACAAATACTCACAAAACCTGAGGTCTCGGGCAGGATGACCAAATGGGCCGTCGAACTAGCCGAGCATGATATCGGCTATCAGCCTCGCACCGCTATCAAAGTTCAGGCCCTGGCGGACTTCCTTGCTGAAGGGGCCAGTTTGTCCGTGGCCGAGCCAAGCCCCTCGCGCGAGGAGGTACGGCCGGGGGAGCCGTGGGTACTGTTTATGGACGGGGCCTCGAGCAAGGAAGGGAGTGGAGCCGGCCTACTGCTCACCTCACCCACCGGGGAAGAGCTGACCTACGCACTCAGGTTTGACTTCTCGGCATCCAACAACGAGGCGGAATACGAGGCCTTACTGACAGGATTGCGGATAGCCTACCAGATGGGTATAACTGCGATCAAAGCCCGGAGTGACTCCCAGCTCGTAGTCCACCAAGTCCGCGGAGAGTATGAGGCCAAGGAGGACATCATGAAAAAATACTTGGCTAAGGTACGAGAAGCAATAGCCCTGTTTGATGTTTTTGAAATCGAGCAGGTGCCGAGGTCACAGAACAAGCGCGCAGACGCTCTGTCAAAACTGGCGTCCTCCTCGTTTGCTCACCTGAACAAGGAAGACTTGGTGGAGGTAGTCAAGCAAAAAAGTATCGACCAGGTCCAAGTCTTGGCTATAAACAGCCCGGCCTCTTGGATGGCTCCCCTCGTGGACTTCCTCTGCTCGGGTGTCCTCCCCGAGGACAAAATCGAGACCCGACGACTCCAGCTTGTGGCTGCCAAGTATGCCTACGCCGGGGGGACCCTCTACAGGAGGTCGTACTTGTCTCCCTGATTAAAGTGCGTAATTCCCGAGGAAGGCGACTATGTCCTCGGAGAAGTTCATGAAGGCTTATGCGCGGCGCATGTGGGATCTCGGGTGTTGGCCAAAAAGTGCCTGCTCGTAGGCTACTATTGGCCCTCAGTGTTTCGGAATGCCGCGGCGCTAGTTCAGCAATGCCGAGCTTGTCAGGTGCACGCCCCGCTGCGTCACCAGCCAACTCAGGAGATGGTCCCCATCCACAGTCCTTGGCCCTTTGCCCAGTGGGACATAGACCTTCTGGGGCCTTTTCCCCGAGTTCTCGGGAGATACGAACAACTTGTGGTGGCCATCGACTACTTCACAAAATGGATGGAAGCGGAGCCTCTAGCCACTATCTCTGGAAGAGCAGTTCAGAAATTCTTCTGGAAGAACATAGTTTGCCGCTTCGGGATTCCGCATGTCTTGATATCTAACAATAGGCGACAGTTCGCTGAAAACCCCTTCAGGAGCTGGTGCGCCGAGCTCAAGATCAGCCAGCACTTCACGTCGGTCGGTCATCCCCAGGCCAACGGCCAAATGGAGAACGTTAACCGAACCCTTTTACAAGGACTAAAGACTAGGTTGGAACTGGCCCAGTCTAACTGGCTAGAAGAACTTTCTAGCGTCCTCTGGGCTTACCGAACTACGCCGAGGACAGCCACTCATGAGACCCCTTTTTCACTGATTTATGGGGCGGAAGCGGTGGTGCCAGCAGAGATCGGTCTCCCATCACCTCAGACACAGAACTTCGTTGCGGCAACCAATGAAGAGGAACTGCGGTGTAACTTGGACATGCTGGAGGCCAAACGCGAGGAGGCGGCGATACGGATGGCTAAGTACAAAGGTCAACTTGCCCGCTATCATAACGCGAAGGTGAGGAATACGCAGTACCGGCCGGGAGACCTCGTCTTAAGAAAGAACTCAGTTAGTCGAGCTCATAGTTCCAACAAGCTCGATCCGAATTGGGAGGGGCCGTACAAAGTTCTAGAGGCGATACCGGTCGGGTGATATGGTGACCCTGGGTGTGAACGTTGGTATACTCGAGTATTACCTTGTAGGTTGGTGGAGCTTGGCCAATGTCCAGGAGGAGGTGAATGAAATGAACGATCGAACGAGGGGTTTACTTACAAAAATGCATTTTCAAATGATTGGAGGAATAAGGGGAATGACAGGAGAACGAACGAACGAACGAACGAACAAATGGCTCCCTGTGAGCCCGTATCCTTTTAATGTATGTGTTATTATCACTTTCCATTGTAAATGTTTCTTGAATTATTGATTATCGATGGTTAATGTATTGGCTTTGTTGTTGAAAATGTGTTCGGAACCTCACTGAGCTTTTAGCTCACCCCTTTAGTTTTGTTTTCCTTAACAGGGGGATGCGAGCAAGGACGAGAGCCCAGTGTAGGTTAGCCTAGTGGAGTTTTGTGTTTTGTAATGGTTCTCGCCCTAGTGCTTAGCACGGGTTGGATGTATGACGAATTGAGAACCTTTGTATATTCGATATTTGTACTTCCTTTTGAGATAGAAATGTATATAAGTTTCGCTTTAAGTTTTGGATTGTTATTTCATTTGATCTTGTGGTTTTATTTCGGATTTGATTGAGGTTCGACTGAGTCCCGGCGAGAGTTGGGCAGGCGGTCCGCCGAACCCTTTGGTTCGCCTTAGGGGGAGGTGGGGCTGTCACAGGTGGTATCAGAGCCTGTTTCGCGTGGTCTCTGCGCGGAGTGAGCCTGGACTGAGTGGTGAATAAGTATGAAGGACTAAGTGCTCGTTCGAGCATAAGTTACGAACCCTGAAGTGTTATAGGTCTTAAATCTTTCTCATGGTATCTAAGGACCATAGATAGGTATGTCAGGTAGGAATTTCGATTTGTAGATGGTTTACTCTTGGGACTGGCCAGCTCGAGATGTGAACTATCTTATTTCGGATTCTCATGCCCGAGTACTCCAGAATTGAGGCGATGCAAGCTACTAGGAACATGAACAGGCTTTGTTTGGCTAGAATGAGCACAAGAGGTCAATGGGTATCTAGTTTGGATAGTAAGTGACGTGAGAGACCGGACGGGGTTATTCAACTGAAACTAGGACGATATCGCCTTTTCTTTTGATTTGTCCTTATATTATTATTACATGACGTTAGTTGGTATATTTGTGCATATGATTATCTGTCTAATTTGATATGCCTTTGTGTATTTGATCATCTATCTTCTTGATATATGGTGTGTTATGTGCGTATATATTTATTTGTGTATTTGGTATGCTGAAATTTGTTACTTTAGTCAATTTACTGTGTTTATTCACTCAATTACCTTTTTGGGGGGGAAAAGAAAAGAAAAGAGAGAGGGAAAACATATATATGGATGGGAGACGTAGTCATGGACGTGAACGTGGCCGTGGGAATAAACGAGCTCAAGAGCCAAGAGAGGAAAGGGAAACAACAGCTGCACAAGAGCAAGGACCGAGGGTTGAAGCCGGGGACCAAATGGCGACGGCAATTCAACAAATGACAAACATTTTAGCAAGGTTGGTGGACCAACAAGGTCAAATACCTGTGAATCAACCTCCGAACCCTGAAATAGGAGAAGATCGGGCTCTTGAGAGGTTTTAGAAGTTTGCTCCTCCGAAATTCCTTGGAAGGTCTGATCCGGATGTAGCCGAACAGTGGCTGGAGGCCATGATCAACATCTTTGCAGCTTTGAACTATACTGAACAAAGGCAAGTGAACTTTGCGGTATTTCAATTTGAAGGACCGGCCCGAGCATGGTGGAACGTGATTAAGGCAAAGTGGGGAAGAGAACAAACTGTATGGACATGGGCTAACTTCCTAAGGGAATTTAATGAAAAGTATCTCCCATTTTTAGTCCAAGAAAGGAGGGAGGATGAGTTTATTGGACTACGCCAGGAAACCCAAAGTGTGGCCGAATATGAAACAAAATTCACCAAACTATCCAAGTTTGCTTCCGAATTAGTGGCCACGGAACCGAGAAGGGTAAGACGATTTATACAGGGATTGAATCTAGAAATTCAAGAAGCACTAGCGACGGTTCAAGTGAATACGTTTACGGAGGCCCTTGAGAAAGCTCAACGAATTGAGAATGCAAAGGCACAAGTAAAAGCCCCCCAAACTCGGAAAAGAGGTGCATCTGGTAATGTATCTGAGGAACTGAGTGAATTGATAGCACCTCCTAAAGTGCAAAAGGTGAACTTTTTGTCCCACCCACCATGGACAATAGGGGCATGAAATGAACGATCTACAAAACGAAGTCAAGTAGGCCATGGGGAGGTTTTTCAAAAAAGCCAACAAGTGGCTTCTTCCTTGATTTGTGGCTACTGTGGAAAGGTCAATCACACTGAGAGTGATTGTTGGAGGAAAGGCCGGAAGTGTTTGATTTGCGGAAATGGTGACCACCAGGTTAGCAACTGTCCGAGGAAACGGTCACGTGAAAGTAGTACTCAACAACTGGAGGGCACTAAACCAAAATCAACGAATGAAAAAGGGAACCCGGCAAGGGTATATGCCTTAGACAACCAACAAGCTCCTGAGCCATTTGAAGGTAAAAATTTCGAGAACGAAATTTCTTAAGGGGGAGAGAGTGTGAGGACTTGCAAATTTCTTATATATTTCTTGAAAATTTCCTTGCTATTCTATACCATCTTACTACTCAATCACCCTAGAAAAAGTGCCAATGATCATAGGAAATTAGGGTTTTCCTTTTCGATTTCAATTCGAAGTGAAATAGGATTTTTCGTGTACCCGTAGTGTAATTATCCGGTATGGAGTAAGGATCAAATTTGGTGCTTAAGAGTGACTTTTAGGTGAGAAATAATATGTGATTAAGAATCTATGATATAAAGTTAGTGAATAGGAAGTAAAAACCCTAGTATGTGTAATTTAAGGAAAACGGTTAGAACTGACGTGTACCGTTCGTTACTGAGTGAGTGCACCGATTAAACCCTACTTTATTTCTTTAATCTCCTCATTTTATTTTGACTAATTAACCCTCAAAATATCTTATACATGAGTCACCATGGTGGGCCAAAGGAAGAAGGAAGAAAACTCTAGAAAGGACACATGTCAAGCCCTTATTGGAAGAAGCTTTAACTAATTTGTATCAACCATCATAAAACAAGAATTTAACCAAATCTTCTCCATTTCTTTACCACCTTGGCCGAAAATAGAGAGAGAAAAAGGGGAGAGAAACTTCATCTTCATCAACTAAATTTCTTGCCTAATCTTAAACTCCAACCATAAATCTTGTGAATCACTTCACCAAAACTACTCTTTAGGGAAGATTAGAGCTTTGTATGGCAAGATTTTGAAGGAAAGATTGTGGCCTTCTCCTACAAGCATCCTAGGAAGGTATCATGGCTTTTCATCCTTTTCTTTTTCCCAATTTTGGTTAAATATGGCTAGAAGCTTTTAATTTTGAGTTACAACGGTTAATTAGTGAGTTTTGTTGGAGTTGGGGGGATGATTAGCTAGGGTTTCATTTTCAGCTTTGATTATGATCATATATCCTTTAATTGATGTTATGAAGTTGCTAGTTGGAGGTTTTGATGATTTAAACCTAACAAACATGAAATTCTAGCAACAAAGTTCTAATTCCAGGTTTGAATTCTCACAAAACACCATTCTGCCCGTTTTTGTTTCATCATGATAGAGGCCGAATTAGACTTTGTATAAAACATGAAAGTTGTATAGAATAATGATTTATAGGTTCCTACAAAATTTCAACTCAATCGGAGAAACGTAGCTGTGAAAAGACCGAAATACCCCTGCTTCCCTGTATTTATCCGAAACTGATAATCAGCTTCTGTAATTGGATGTTTTGACCAGGAATACTACTGATTTGGTTGTCGATGTTTTCTTAAGACTTATAGCCTTATATCTTAGCTTTCAAATGGCTTTGGAATAACTTGAATTGAAGTTGTAGGTGTTGAGATACGACTGAATAAGTCAGGACTGCTGCAGTACACTGAACTGGAAAATCT